TCATTTGATGGACACTTTACTATACCATGAGGCCAATAAAGAGGATTCCCTTATGAAAATTAACCAATATTTTACTACAAAAAAAAATGTAAATAAATATATGTATATATACAGTGGGTACGGAAAGTATTCAGACCCCCTTAAATTTTTCACTCTTTGTTATATTTATAGTTTAAGCATGGTATTTGTAGGAAAACTGTGGTTATACAAATGGTAATCAGTACACCAAAAAACCTTGGTTACTACACTATACTAAAGCCATGGTTTATTTTCGTATGGGTTTGTGAATGGCTGTGAAACCTACAGTACTAGACAGTATGCGATTTCGGATGCAGCTGTTCCCTTTTTTTCTTAAAATAGCTGTTCACTTGTTTGATGGAATGATTCAATGACTGCCTCATAACCACTTGTTTTGTTCCTGAATGAATCAGTGGTTGTTTGAATGAACAACTGAATGATTCACTGAGGACTTGGACTAACTTATTACCTTGTGAAACTCTCTCTTTTTTTTTTGTTATTTTATTATTGTAGTTTCTCGTTAAAAAGGTGTGTGCAGATTTGTGTAACAGGTAATTGCTGTCAGATTAGAGGGGTACAGTTTGAATCTCTGGGGTCAAGCCAATGGTTTTGAGAGAGTGACAGAGTAAAGCGTTATTCTAGCGTCTGTTTGAGTCTCTACGAGCACAGGTGAGAGCTGGAGAGATCTTGATGAAATATTAAAGGCATGTGAGCTGATGCAGGGCCAGGACGAGGGCACTCAGGGGGCACTGTCTCCTTAATTACTGTGTGCGGCGGTTTCACTATTTCATTTGGGAAAATCCCAGATTGAGGTTATGTTCAAATTGCCCTTCTTCTGCACCGAGCGAACTGGACTACGGTGCCCGGAGGACACGGCTCCTTATTTAATTAATGCTTGGGTGTGTTATGCCCTATGTTAGTGGGGGGTTTGATGAGTCATTAGGTAATAATAATGGCCCCAATCTAAATTAAACAGCATATTTAAGAAACAGTGAACACTAATCAATGGCATAAAGGTACAATCAGAAGTATTTACGGTGTAAACATCTCTTCACAGTAATGTTAATTATTAGCACAGATGAAATTAAAGACACAGTCCGACTATAAAGGGGCTTTCAGTGTGCTGAGTTTCAGAGACTGGCATAGTTAAAGACCCAGCAATGGTTATTAGTGTTATTAACGTAATCCCTCTCTCCTCATGGTCTCCTGGAGCATTGATCCTCCAAAATGGAGTATGGATCCCACTTTATCCACTGTCTTAGTACAGCGCTACCTCACCTTGTGTGTTCTGCCTATCCCTTCACAGACAGTAGATATTCAAACTATAATAGCTAATCTGATGACCTATGTGGATGCTGATGCAAAACATATCATAACTATGGCTGCATCCGAAATCAAATACTTTAATTACTTATCGACCATTAAAAAGTACATTCTATATAGTATGAATGTAATCTGGATGTACTACATTTGTCATGTTATTATTGTCATGTGACCTACAGCATCAACTGTGTCACTTAATTTACAAGAATAAATCCTCTCCCATGGCCTCATGGGATAGTAAAGTGTCCATCAGATGCACACTTCTGAATCTTGCCGGTAATAGTAGTTCATCGAGGGACTACTATTTTGCCTACTGTTTTATAAATACTGTGAAATTGGACATAATACTCTGTTCACATAATGTTTTGTGTGTGTGTGTGTGTGTGTGGGTGGGGGGGTGTCTGTGTGTGTGTACTACATAGTAGAGAAGTATACGATTTATGATGCAGCCTAAGTGTTTTATTGTTCACATGACCAGACAAGTTCATTTATAAGCATTGTAAAAATGTTATATGTTTTTTGTACTATGCTGGAAGCACATGTAGTGAACCTTTTTTTTTCATTCACAAGAGAGAGTGTTAAAGGTCCACTGATCTCCAGTACGCCAACAAAGCCTCATCACTTCAGTCCCCCTGGACACCATAGAGTGCGGCAGAAAATCCGTCAGCCCTAAAAGAGCTTGTTGCTGAAATTGATTAGCATTTAGATTGTATCTAGTTTGATTCAAAGGAGGAGAGGCTACAGATGGTTTGAAAGCAGCAGATTTAAAGTAGATTTTGAAAACTGCCCGTAAATGATGCATTTACACGCAAGTCATTTCAGTTTTCTTTTAGGCCTGTGTATCCTCCACCCCCGGAAGCCCGTCTGTTATCTGAAGTCCTCTGAGGACTGCCATTACTCACTTATCATATTTTTAGTTCATAGTATTTAACAGAGCATTCATCTACTTCATGAGAGCTTCCTCTTTTGGGAGAAGCCTAAACCATGAGGTTTGATCTCAGATACTAATTTTATCATACGATACATTTATTAGTATAAATTTAACATCCACTACAGCCGCATGACCATAAACCGAATGAAGTTCATTCATCTTCTCCTTCCGAGACCATGTGCATTCTTCATTGCAATGGATAATGCTAAAACATGTTCCTATCAGTATGCTCTTTCCAAGGGCTTGACATTAAGAAGAATAAATAGCACTGGTTTCACAACACCACCTAATTCATCAAAGTCGTGCCAGGAGTACATGCCCAGTGTGAATGATCAAACACTAGCTGGGCTTTTGGCTCATGCTGAAGGCACCGCATTAGAAGGCACGGGAACTGTCTGCTAATCAGGAAAACTATCAGTCCCTTTCATGAGATGCAATAGAAGGCCACAGTTCTAGGGTTTCAATACAGTAATCTGAAAACAAATCAATTATCTGGCAAAATCTAGCGAGGTACCTAGCATCGAGGCATGATTTGTTCATTTGAATGCATGAGCTGTTGCTGTAACTTAACACGCTGTCACTGTTTGGCTCTTCTGAATCAAAACACATTTGCAAAGTATTAAGTTAGCACCTAGGAAACCACAGTAAGACTTACAATACATTCACACTGCTCAAGGCCTTACTCATCTCAGCCCTGTTAGTGTAAATGACAAGTATTTTGGAGTGTAAAAAGGAAATGTGTACTTGGCACCAATGATCAAGCCTTTTTTTCAGTCCTTACATGATTTGCTGCTGATAGAAGTGAAGTACTAGCTACTTATAATAAATTCCTGCTCAAGCGCATGTTGTAGGATCTTTATTTATCTGGTGCCCTCTGCTGGCAACTTGAATTGTAGCCAAAATCTTTCATTCCCCTCTTTTCTGAGGTCTGTTGCTGACCTACTGAATTCATTTTTATCTCCAGAAGCCACCAGCTAACACTGTTTTAACTCCAATGTGCAAATGTAATAATATAAGTAGGCCTAAACATAAAATTATAATTGTGGTAAAAAAAAAAAGAAAAGAAAAAAGGAAAAAGTTGATGTACCACAGGGAGGAAAGAGTGTTTCATCTTTGAATGACAATAACATTCATTTTTTATATATAATGCAAAATAAACAACATCCCATGAAAAAAATAACTGATGATATAAATCATTGAAAATCACATCAAAAATATTTTAAATGTTGAGTTATACAATAAATTAAAAGCCATCATTTATGGCAATATGCATTGCTGTGGGGTTTTTTTTTCAACTCGTTTCATGTTCCTGTTTATTTATGTTCAGAAATATTAGTTAGGATTTTTACCTGTTTTCTTGTAGCTGTTTCCTTATTTCCTTATTGTGAAATTTGTTTAAAAACTGTCAAACCCAGTGTCAAGTTTAATGTGATGAATCATCAATACATTCTCCTTAATGGTACAAATAAAAGGTTCATGTAACACTGTGTTCATGCCTTGCACAATATCTGTACTTCCGTTTTTCAAAAACTGCTTTATGCCAGTCATATAAAATTATAATAATTATAAAAAATACAAATAATAAAAAATAAAAAACCCCACACCATATGGTAGACGTGCTGGGGACCTACACAAGCAGCAATATGGTCTAATGTAGAGACTGGCTCTGCTTGCATTTAGCATTTAACTTAATATTCTCCATACAGCCTTTATTCTATGAAACATTTCTTGCTGAGTTTAGTCCGAAAACACGCTGGGCACACAGCAGTGACTTTGCAAATAGCACCACACACACACACACAAGCAGCCCTTGCAAATGTTTTAAAAGTATCACATAAATTGTTGTTATTTTCCTCCATTTCAGTTATCCCACAGTGATGATTACACTCCATATGCATGTGGTGCCATGGAAAATCCATTTGCATTGTGGCTTTTAAAACATTTCACATTAGTTGTCTCTTAAAACTGCATTAAAAGTTACCCATTAAGATGAGAAATATGATGTTTTGTGGTTTTACTTGTTTGGGTTATTAAATGTTCTATTTATGATTACATCATGAGCCAAAGATAACATTTTCAGAAAAGAAAGATGGATTTGCTATTGGTGTTTGATATATAGTTTATATAAGGATACAAAGAAACAACAGAAAACATATATTCTCATACCAAAAAAAGACAAGTGATGTGTTAAGACCTTTGTCCCTTCAAGTCAATAAAGTGATTTGATTGTACAGTCACAGAGTGAACACTTTTTTTGCACATTTATACATATGAATACATATATATCAGAAATCATATTTATTTTCTTAGAATTGATGATGAGGCAGACTCACAGCTTTGGGATTTTTAAACATTACTCTTCTAAATCAATCAATAAGTTCTCTTGGTGGAAAAATGACTCATCTCACAATGCAACACTGGAAAATATTGTGAGCCGCCCATCTGGTGGGAAATACCATAATCTTTTCTTCCAGTCAAACTGAATGTATCTGTGATCCAAGTTTTGCATCTGTTCCCCATCTTCAATGGTGAGTAATCACTTTTTAGCACATCTAGACATTCTAGCCTCAGTTTTGTCTGGAAGATTTAAATAATACATAAACATTGCTTAAATATACTGGAATCAGAGCACAAACAATTGGTCATATGACTGATTGCAGAGAAGGCAACACATAGATTAATCATACTGACAGTCTACTTATGATATAATCTTCAGACACAGTATGAAAAATGCAAAAACATTTACAAAAAAGAATGACTGACTGTATGTCTTTTATAACCCAGCCTCTCCATCACAGGCCAGCATGTGTCCTCAATGAGTTTAATCTCATCTGAAACCATATTCTCCTTCCACGTGTTGATTTTGGCAGGTGATATATCTCCTTCATATATCAGATTATACAGATTTGTAGATGTGGCAAATGTCAGCTGGTTTAATGCAGCTGGTGCAACTGGTATTCCAAGAAAGTTATGTATCTTTCTCGCTGTCTCTTCAGGAAAATATACAACGTCTTCAAATTTGACTATAAGGTATGTTTGTGGGGGAAGGCTTGCGCTCACCTTGAGCCCTGCTGAATTGTGAGCCAGCCATAGCTGAGCTAGTAGCCGTACAGGGTTGGGATCTGGCTGGGAGAGGATCTTCTTTAAAGAAAGGAACTGTGAGTCCACTATAGCACAACCCTGATCCACACCATCAATGTTTTGCTTAAAAATGTTGACAATGTGCCTTTTAATATTCTTACGTAAGTACAGGCTTGGCTTGCTGCTGTAGAGCATTAGATAAATCCATGCACGTGGGTCTCTGACCAAATGAACTGAGCGAAGTGAGTGACCTATGACCTCTTGAAGATACGGCAGCTTCAAGAACCAGCCTCCACTGCCCATGTTCAGCACTGGCCGGGCATTTGGGTACTTCACCAGGTGCTGCCTGAGCTCTTGTATGTATGCAATGTCCATATGGGTACCCTTGCCGCCCCCTGTCCTTGTTTGCTCAGACAGCAGCATCCTTCTCTTTCTTTGTCCTTTTTCTTTGACTTTGTTCTCTGCTTCATCGTTGCTCTGGTGCAACTGAATGTTTTGCAGGTGCAGTTTTACATTGTGGACTATGGAATGGAACCATCCCTGAATGACTCGAAATCGTCCATTTTGCGCATCTGCTTTGGACCACTCGCAAGCGTCCACCAGAGAGACGAAAGGAGATATGGGGAACCGCAGGTAGGTTGAAGGGATCCGAAGGTATACAAAGTCAGAGCTATTATCGAAAAGGTGCTGAAGGATCTCTGCGCCTGAGCCCGGCATGGATGTAATCGTGATGATGGGGAGGAGGTCATGGACGCTAGAGTCTGTTCCATCATATATGCTGCTGTCTTTTGACTTAACATTGCACAAGAGCTGTTCACAGCCATAAAACAGAGACAAAAGTTCAGTCACCCACAAAAACAACACACAGACCAGAGTGCAATGAATTAGCATATTGAACGACACATGAAACTTCCTTTTTTTCATTACAAAAGCTAAAGCAAAACATAAAGTCAACACCGCAGAGATGTTTACAACCAATCCAAAGTCAAACACAAAATCTTTTGTGACTTGACTTGGCAAGGTTTGAATTCCCCGGCCAAACCGAACTATTCTTCTGTTGTCTTCTGTTTTAGCAAAGCCTGCAAAGCCCAAGTAGCCATGTCTGGCTTCAATGTCTTCGTAGTTTGTTACAACTGACACAACAGTCTCCGTGTCATTAAGAGTCACTGATATTTTGACTCCATTTTTACTGTTGTCTATGAATCTACAGTCCGAGACCTTGACGTATGGGCCATGCATCAAATAAGCCACTCTAGTGACAGTGTTCTCCATGGGAAAGGTCACGTTTATGTACTGCGTCCATCTCTTTTTGAATTCAGCAGCCTGTTCTGCCTCTTGTATCCTGGCAACGGGGCTGGATCCTTGAGTGTCCAGCCAAAACATTTTGTAATGTGCATCCCACACATCCATCAGAGCCCCATTGTATTTTCCAAATGATCTGTGAGGAACGTACCTGAAATCAATGTCAAGGTTGTGAAAAAACGCACTGAGAGAACTGAGAGGGGAGAGCTCGTGTTTCTCAATGTGGTCCAGAACCAGCAATGTTTGAGAGTTGAGAAGCACAAGTGCTCGATACACACTCTTTAGCTTCATGGCAGATGAATAGGCCGACACAGACTCTCCACTCACAAACAACATGTCCTGATGTGATGAAGCCGCGATGACCTCCCCAGCAGTATCCCCGACTTCCTTTTCTCCCCATCTTAGCCACTTTGAACATTCCCCCAACTGTCCTTCCCATGGCTGCTTACACTGGCTGGTGGGTGAGGGGGCAAATACCAGCACATTGTTAAGATAGCTGTATTTAGGACCATACAAGGCCTCAGAAACAAACACCAGTCCATTTGGTGCAAAAGTAAAGGAGTTTTGATCAGGGTGCTCGTGTCCGGGGTTAAAGTTCGTCCAGCCATCTACCCAAGAGTAAGGTTGTGCATGGACAATATCATACACTGCTCGCCCTCCTAATTTTCCAGATTTAAATGACACAAAGGTATTACCTTGAGCTTGAGGTAACCCTGCCCCATATGTCACCACACCCCAGTTGGAGAAAATGTGCATAGTTGCTTTGTTAAAGTCAGGTGGAGGCTGTGGAGTTAAAGCAGAGTCATACCATATGTACTCTGTATGTAAAGTAGCCCAGCGTTGGGCTGCTGATTGCATCATGGGTCCATCTTTAGGACGATGCTTCCTAATCTGCTCTGCCAGCCAGTTTCCTGAGCCATTTCGGATCACGTATGCATCCAGAAATACAAGCTGGCTCTCTGGCCCATAGAACCAGTTGTAATTGGAGTCTGCAATGCCAACCGTTCTTTGAAATCCAGGAAGCAGTGTAGCAAAGTAAAACATGAAGTGAGCTCTGAGCCAGTTGTTCTGTGTGTTGTCTATCTGAAAATGACGCAACGCTAGATAAACATATTGAGTAATGGATTTTGCTGTGTAGCTACCATACGCAACACCCTCATCGAGAGAGCCATCAACAATGTGGCTGAGAAGGAACATGGTCTTTTCCATGTAGTTCACTGATATTTGCTTCCATATCATGGTCTCTGGGTCATTATGTTCCCCTGCCACAAGAGCGCCAATGAGAATGGCTAGTATATTAGTTGTCTGGTGGTTCTGTAGAAACTGCTTTCCCCATCCTCTGTGCTTGGAAAGCTCGAAAAGCTCCTCAGTAACGGATCGTATTTTCCTGAGATATCGCAATCTTCTGTGGGTGTCAAGAAAGGTGTAAATGAAATCATACGCCGTGGCAAATCCAGTGAGGGAGTGGGCGATGGGAACCTCATCATTTGGTGCACTGGACACTGTCCAATCTGGATACTCCACCATTCGATCCATGTACTCAATCAAAAATTGAGAGGCAGTAGCATCCTCAGGTTGAAGCAGACAGTATAATGCAAGAGGGGGCAAATTGTTACCATAAATCTCATTCCATTTGTTGCCGAAATCCTCATGGCTCACCGGAGGCTGGTAAACAGCTGCATTGGATAACATAACAGAAACAGCATTACGAATAACTTTAAATATGTCTCTATGTGTGGTGGTGGCCCTCTGTTTCATCAAACGCAATTCTGTCTGATCAAAGTATAGCTTGGGGTGAAGGTGTGCTGACAAGGTGGTATTGTCTGTTTGGTGTTCATTCGAGGACACATATCTGTCTGAGGCAGACGAAATTCCACAGAAAGCAAGTCCCACAGCCAAGACACAGAGCAGAACCGCAGACCTCTGCATGTTCTCCATGACCATGATCCAAGAAACAGATGTGGTGCTTTTCTCTTCGAAAGCTCCTCCTCCAAAGCGCCCAAAAAATGTGTTATTAGTCCAACTTGTAGCCTACTCACATGCAGAGCTGCAGATATTTTTTTTGCAAAACCCCAAATGACTATGGCGGACTATGTATGTAGACAGTGGGAATCGTTCACATTTCCTTGAAAAAATACATGCTTTTAACTCCCATAACTGGTTATCCGGCTAAACTAAAACTTGATAAACCCACGCAAAACAAACTTCTTCCGCATTTATTTGTACGCTGTTGTATTATTTAACCGGATAAAAAGTGATTTTCAGTCTCGCTCTTTAAAACGATATCCGCACAAAGTGCCATAACGGAAATATAATAAATGCAGAGATGTGTCAAAGAAACTTCCGTTCTCAGAATCCGTCATTACAAGTTTGATCCTCTGCTTCCCGCGGGTCTTATGGAAGAGTTTCCAGAAAGTTGCAGCGTCCTGCAGTAACTATTCACAGCACCATGTAAAGTCACTCTTAACGCCTTTTTCTCATCTTGTGACACGAGAAGCGAGATAATCCATTAATCCACTTTGAGTTGAAGGAAACGTACCGCCTGCTGTGTCGTTTGTCTAAGTGGTGATGCTTTCTAATTTGATCTGAAGCAAAGACTGATATGAAGAATCCACAATGCCATTTCAATGTCACTTTTTAGACTTTAGGGTTACACTTCCTGTATCAAATTCTTCTGTCACAAAACTGTCCCAGTGTTGCAAGTCAAGTCGCTTTTTCCATCTTCCAAGTTATCTAGTACAACTATCACAGTCGGCATTGGCCATTTTTAATATGGTCGATAGATGGCGTCGTAATATCACATTGAGTGGTTCATTAAACCACATTTCCGGTATTCATGTCGTTTTATTTATAATTAATCAAACGAATTTGCTATTCAGATATAAAGTACAGTTTCATATCAAATATTTAATATAATTTAGCCACAAATCAGAATAGCGTATAGTTTGAGCAATTTGACTTTAAGCAGACACAGGTCACACAGTAATGAGTTGAGAAGTGTGTCCTCTTTCATACTTACAAAAAAGAAAAGAAACAATACACAGGGAACTCCAACAAAAAGCCCAATAAAATTGTGAACATAAATATGAACACAATAGGAGTACATCATACATGCAGCTATGGCCATGTGTGTTGTGTTAATTTGATTTAAATGATTTAGACTTTCATGTGATGGGAGGCTAAATAAAATAAATTTGGTTAATTTAAGTTACTTGAACTTTATTTGATAAATAAACCAACCACAATATACTGTACACTGGGAAGATGATTTATAAAAAGGGGGAAAACAGTAATACATGTGATGACATGGTAAAGATTAACATGATACTATGTCAACAGTCCATGTTAATCTTCTTTCTTTGCTTCTGAGGTTTTTTCTGTACTGTCAGGCTGCAATTCTATTGCCTTCTTCCCATGTGCATCCAAAACAGGACTTGCTGTAGCTCCTTCCACGGGTTTCTCATCATCCGCTGGTACAGCAGTACATGTAGCCCATATAACCAGCACAGCTATACCCACTGGTAGTCCAAACACAAAACAGGAGAAGAATGGAGCTGCCTGGAACATCGACTGAGATCAGGGAGATTTATATTAGTTACTAGGACAACTGTGACCTAAATATTAGTCTCAAGTAAATATTTGATGAGGATGTGATCAGCCGTGTGTTTTGGTTTTGGCGTGTTAAGCTTTTAGTAAATATTTTGGAAAAAATGAAATAAGAGTAAATCTATCCTTTTGCTAAAATAATAAAGAGCGTTAGTCGGTCTTACCACCACAGTAGACTTAGCTTTATAGAGAGATCTCTTAGCGTGCTGCAAAAATCCATTTCCCCCTAGTAGCTGATTGGGGTAAAAGGGAATTTTATTAGAAACGGCACAATGTATTATAGGACAGAAAAGATAGACATGAAATTATCTCCCTTCACATACCTTTGCACTGCCATCCAGAACACTGTTTAAGAAGCGAAGTAAATCCTCAATGGTCTCGATCTTACTTTCTGGTAGACAGTATCCATCAATGGTCATATTTAACACAATGATGGAGGGCATCTCAACTTCTCTGAGAAGAAACATGTTAGTGGTGATTATACGCACAGATTAGACTTCTGTAATATATTTTTGTAGATGTCTGAAATATACATCATTTTGTTTTTATCTATGCCAGTGGTTTTAAATACAGTTCCAGCACTTTGCACTTCCTAAAATATTTGTGTTCAATTCAACTCACCCCATAATTAAACCATTGATATATTCATTACCATCCATAAAACCAAACTGGTAATCACTAGGAGAAAAAAATCAATATCATCTTTGTTAACAAATAATTTGGGTATTTGGCACCTTCTCTTCATGCTCCATATACATTTGCAACTTACCTTTTGTAATGATCTCTGTATTCAGTTGACAGAGTTTCCATCAAAGTTTTGTAACTAAAGAGATCAATTTTGAGTTTTAGAGTCGAAATAATATTTAGACCTTGAGCTTGAATAACATGAATAACAACATACAGAAATAAAATTTTCTGATGTTGCTTACCGAACGCTTTCTTCAGATGGATTCTTCTCATCTACTACTGCCAGTGCCACAAGTTTACCTTTGAGGGAACTATCCTTTTGCTAAAATAATAAAGAGCGTTAGTCGGTCTTACCACCACAGTAGACTTAGCTTTATAGAGAGATCTCTTAGCGTGCTGCAAAAATCCATTTCCCCCTAGTAGCTGATTGGGGTAAAAGGGAATTTTATTAGAAACGGCACAATGTATTATAGGACAGAAAAGATAGACATGAAATTATCTCCCTTCACATACCTTTGCACTGCCATCCAGAACACTGTTTAAGAAGCGAAGTAAATCCTCAATGGTCTCGATCTTACTTTCTGGTAGACAGTATCCATCAATGGTCATATTTAACACAATGATGGAGGGCATCTCAACTTCTCTGAGAAGAAACATGTTAGTGGTGATTATACGCACAGATTAGACTTCTGTAATATATTTTTGTAGATGTCTGAAATATACATCATTTTGTTTTTATCTATGCCAGTGGTTTTAAATACAGTTCCAGCACTTTGCACTTCCTAAAATATTTGTGTTCAATTCAACTCACCCCATAATTAAACCATTGATATATTCATTACCATCCATAAAACCAAACTGGTAATCACTAGGAGAAAAAAAATCAGTATCATCTTTGTTAACAAATAATTTGGGTATTTGGCACCTTCTCTTCATGCTTCATATAAATTTGCAACTTACCTTTTGTAATGATCTCTGTATTCAGTTGACAGAGTTTCCATCAGAGTTTTGTAACTAAAGAGATCAATTTTGAGTTTTAGAGTCGAAATAATATTTAGACCTTGAGCTTGAATAACATGAATAACAACATACAGAAATAAAATTTTCTGATGTTGCTTACCGAACGCTTTCTTCAGATGGATTCTTCTCATCTACTACTGCCAGTGCCACAAGTTTACCTTTGAGGGAAGTGTGAGAAATGAACAGCAACACAATAAATGATTTATGAACACAAAGCTCACATAATTACAATATGTCAAAGCATCATTTTCACACATGAATACTGGATCTTGGGAGAAAGTCATCATGCCAGTTATGTTTTATCACCTAGTGGCAGAAATATTGCAATCACAAAAAACATTTGATAATTAATGATGCAGTTTGTTAACTGTAAATGGTATAGGAAAATAAGACAAATAAAAGAAAAAAGTAAAAAAATATATAATATTTATGGAGAAAAACAGGCTTACTTAGTTCTCCCATCTGGTACAGACTGAAGCTATCAATTTGGAAGTAAGAGGGAAAACGTTCTCGATTTATCCAGGAAGACAAATCACCATCAAGAAATTCTATAGGAATGATAAGACAGGTGATATTAAACTTAATAATACTTTATGTACATTTAATGTTTTCATGTATTACATGTAGACCTGCACTTGTTAAATGTCACCGTCAAGCCTGTGCAAACAATATGCAAAGTAAAAGTACTCAGAAATGTTTCATCTAAAATATGTAATCATGAGAAACAAATTATCTTTTATTTTATTAACGAAGAGTGTTTCTGTTCACTGACTGCATTAAATTATGCAAAATATGTTACTTGCACACAGTCAAGCTGTTGACTTAAAGGGTGTATATTGGATGTTAGCCCAGACGAAATGTTCAGAGTAAGCCACATGACAGAAGAGAGTTGGAACACTTTACTGTCTCTGTATTCTCATCTTTTGGAACAGAATGGTAAGAAAGTAATTACTGTAATTATAATGTGATCTAACAAAAGGTTTTTATCTTGTACACATACAAGAACCTGTGCATAACCATGGGTAAGTACTTCTAACATACTAGTACTTTTAATGTTAATAAAGTAACTTTACATCCAGTGCCCTAAATGGCCAAATTATGCTGGGAAAATGTACATATATCAAATATATTGTGACCTGCAATCTTTTTTACTTTTTTGTGCCTTTGCTTTTTTTATGCCTCTGTTTTTAGGAGGATTACCATGTGATTTCTGTTACAAAAAGTGATAATAAAGTAAATATTGTCAGGTAAGTGATTCATAAACTTATTTGCAAAAGGTCTATGTATCACATACACTTGCTCAAAAGAGAGAATGATTTGTAGAGTGTGCTTACATCACAATGTCTTTGTGTTTTTCAAATTAATTATTTCTAATATTTTAATGTGCAAACTGTATTTATTTATTTTTTTTTTACTTTAAGTTAAATTGAAAATTGAGCTGGCCTTAATATGGCACTATATAATGGAACAAAAAAACCTTAACATTTATAAATTACAATAAAACCTGTATTTCTTTTTAGGTCATCTGGAAGATGTTAATGCATAATATATCTCCTGCAGATGCCACATTCTACACCTTGTGTTTTAACCTTGCTCCATGGATGTGCTAACTATTCATATCATGGAGGACTCGTCTGACAGTGCAGTGTTTCGGGTCCAGGTTCAGTGTGCTGATCCTTTCCTGCTAAACTACTGGCTCCAGAAGACCTTCTTCAACAATGGGGACGTCCAACAGATCAACACCCTGAGAATAAACGGCTGTCGTGGGCTAGTGTTTGTTTTGAGGGTGCTGCATCGTTCTTCACGCCTCCCTAATTCCCATTATTGGTGCCCTTTCCTAGTGACACTCTGCCTCGATGCCCTGGCATTTCACTACCACCTCCCCTCTATACCCCAGTGGAACAGCACCCTTCGAGAGGCGATGAGAGGAAACAGCCTGCGTTGGGCTGCTGATTGCATCATGGGTCCATCTTTAGGACGATGCTTCCTAATCTGCTCTGCCAGCCAGTTTCCTGAGCCATTTCGGATCACGTATGCATCCAGAAATACAAGCTGGCTCTCTGGCCCATAGAACCAGTTGTAATTGGAGTCTGCAATGCCAACCGTTCTTTGAAATCCAGGAAGCAGTGTAGCAAAGTAAAACATGAAGTGAGCTCTGAGCCAGTTGTTCTGTGTGTTGTCTATCTGAAAATGACGCAACGCTAGATAAACATATTGAGTAATGGATTTTGCTGTGTAGCTACCATACGCAACACCCTCATCGAGAGAGCCATCAACAATGTGGCTGAGAAGGAACATGGTCTTTTCCATGTAGTTCACTGATATTTGCTTCCATATCATGGTCTCTGGGTCATTATGTTCCCCTGCCACAAGAGCGCCAATGAGAATGGCTAGTATATTAGTTGTCTGGTGGTTCTGTAGAAACTGCTTTCCCCATCCTCTGTGCTTGGAAAGCTCGAAAAGCTCCTCAGTAACGGATCGTATTTTCCTGAGATATCGCAATCTTCTGTGGGTGTCAAGAAAGGTGTAAATGAAATCATACGCCGTGGCAAATCCAGTGAGGGAGTGGGCGATGGGAACCTCATCATTTGGTGCACTGGACACTGTCCAATCTGGATACTCCACCATTCGATCCATGTACTCAATCAAAAATTGAGAGGCAGTAGCATCCTCAGGTTGAAGCAGACAGTATAATGCAAGAGGGGGCAAATTGTTACCATAAATCTCATTCCATTTGTTGCCGAAATCCTCATGGCTCACCGGAGGCTGGTAAACAGCTGCATTGGATAACATAACAGAAACAGCATTACGAATAACTTTAAATATGTCTCTATGTGTGGTGGTGGCCCTCTGTTTCATCAAACGCAATTCTGTCTGATCAAAGTATAGCTTGGGGTGAAGGTGTGCTGACAAGGTGGTATTGTCTGTTTGGTGTTCATTCGAGGACACATATCTGTCTGAGGCAGACGAAATTCCACAGAAAGCAAGTCCCACAGCCAAGACACAGAGCAGAACCGCAGACCTCTGCATGTTCTCCATGACCATGATCCAAGAAACAGATGTGGTGCTTTTCTCTTCGAAAGCTCCTCCTCCAAAGCGCCCAAAAAATGTGTTATTAGTCCAACTTGTAGCCTACTCACATGCAGAGCTGCAGATATTTTTTTTGCAAAACCCCAAATGACTATGGCGGACTATGTATGTAGACAGTGGGAATCGTTCACATTTCCTTGAAAAAATACATGCTTTTAACTCCCATAACTGGTTATCCGGCTAAACTAAAACTTGATAAACCCACGCAAAACAAACTTCTTCCGCATTTATTTGTACGCTGTTGTATTATTTAACCGGATAAAAAGTGATTTTCAGTCTCGCTCTTTAAAACGATATCCGCACAAAGTGCCATAACGGAAATATAATAAATGCAGAGATGTGTAAAAGAAACTTCCGTTCACAGAATCCGTAATTACAAGTTTGATCCTCTGCTTCCCGCGGGTCTTATGGAAGAGTTTCCAGAAAGTTGCAGCGTCCTGCAGTAACTATTCACAGCACCATGTAAAGTCACTCTTAACGCCTTTTTCTCATCTTGTGACACGAGAAGCGAGATAATCCATTAATCCACTTTGAGTTGAAGGAAACGTACCGCCTGCTGTGTCGTTTGTCTAAGTGGTGATGCTTTCTAATTTGATCTGAAGCAAAGACTGATATGAAGAATCCACAATGCCATTTCAATGTCACTTTTTAGACTTTAGGGTTACACTTCCTGTATCAAATTCTTCTGTCACAAAACTGTCCCAGTGTTGCAAGTCAAGTCGCTTTTTCCATCTTCCAAGTTATCTAGTACAACTATCACAGTCGGCATTGGCCATTTTTAATATGGTCGATAGATGGCGTCGTAATATCACATTGAGTGGTTCATTAAACCACATTTCCGGTATTCATGTCGTTTTATTTATAATTAATCAAACGAATTTGCTATTCAGATATAAAGTACAGTTTCATATCAAATATTTAATATAATTTAGCCACAAATCAGAATAGCGTATAGTTTGAGCAATTTGACTTTAAGCAGACACAGGTCACACAGTAATGAGTTGAGAAGTGTGTCCTCTTTCATACTTACAAAAAAGAAAAGAAACAATACACAGGGAACTCCAACAAAAAGCCCAATAAAATTGTGAACATAAATATGAACACAATAGGAGTACATCATACATGCAGCTATGGCCATGTGTGTTGTGTTAATTTGATTTAAATGATTTAGACTTTCATGTGATGGGAGGCTAAATAAAATAAATTTGGTTAATTTAAGTTACTTGAACTTTATTTGATAAATAAACCAACCACAATATACTGTACACTGGGAAGATGATTTATAAAAAGGGGGAAAACAGTAATACATGTGATGACATGGTAAAGATTAACATGATACTATGTCAACAGTCCATGTTAATCTTCTTTCTTTGCTTCTGAGGTTTTTTCTGTACTGTCAGGCTGCAATTCTATTGCCTTCTTCCCATGTGCATCCAAAACAGGACTTGCTGTAGCTCCTTCCACGGGTTTCTCATCATCCGCTGGTACAGCAGTACATGTAGCCCATATAACCAGCACAGCTATACCCACTGGTAGTCCAAACACAAAACAGGAGAAGAATGGAGCTGCCTGGAACATCGACTGAGATCAGGGAGATTTATATTAGTTACTAGGACAACTGTGACCTAAATATTAGTCTCAAGTAAATATTTGATGAGGATGTGATCAGCCGTGTGTTTTGGTTTTGGCGTGTTAAGCTTTTAGTAAATATTTTGGAAAAAATGAAATAAGAGTAAATCTATCCTTTTGCTAAAATAATAAAGAGCGTTAGTCGGTCTTACCACCACAGTAGACTTAGCTTTATAGAGAGATCTCTTAGCGTGCTGCAAAAATCCATTTCCCCCTAGTAGCTGATTGGGGTAAAAGGGAATTTTATTAGAAACGGCACAATGTATTATAGGACAGAAAAGATAGACATGAAATTATCTCCCTTCACATACCTTTGCACTGCCATCCAGAACACTGTTTAAGAAGCGAAGTAAATCCTCAATGGTCTCGATCTTACTTTCTGGTAGACAGTATCCATCAATGGTCATATTTAACACAATGATGAAGGGCATCTCAACTTCTCTGAGAAGAAACATGTTAGTGGTGATTATACGCACAGATTAGACTTCTGTAATATATTTTTGTAGATGTCTGAAATATACATCATTTTGTTTTTATCTATGCCAGTGGTTTTAAATACAGTTCCAGCACTTTGCACTTCCTAAAATATTTGTGTTCAATTCAACTCACCCCATAATTAAACCATTGATATATTCATTACCATCCATAAAACCAAACTGGTAATCACTAGGAGAAAAAAAATCAGTATCATCTTTGTTAACAAATAATTTGGGTATTTGGCACCTTCTCTTCATGCTTCATATAAATTTGCAACTTACCTTTTGTAATGATCTCTGTATTCAGTTGACAGAGTTTCCATCAAAGTTTTGTAACTAAAGAGATCAATTTTGAGTTTTAGAGTCGAAATAATATTTAGACCTTGAGCTTGAATAACATGAATAACAACATACAGAAATAAAATTTTCTGATGTTGCTTACCGAACGCTTTCTTCAGATGGATTCTTCTCATCTACTACTGCCAGTGCCACAAGTTTACCTTTGAGGGAAGTGTGAGAAATGAACAGCAACACAATAAATGATTTATGAACACAAAACTCACATAATTACAATATGTCAAAGCATCATTTTCACACATGAATACTGGATCTTGGGAGAAAGTCATCATGCCAGTTATGTTTTATCACCTAGTGGCAGAAATATTGCAATCACAAAAAACATTTGATAATTAATGATGCAGTTTGTTAACTGTAAATGGTATAGGAAAATAAGACAAATAAAAGAAAAAAGTAAAAAAATATATAATATTTATGGAGAAAAACAGGCTTACTTAGTTCTCCCATCTGGTACAGACTGAAGCTATCAATTTGGAAGTAAGAGGGAAAACGTTCTCGATTTATCCAGGAAGACAAATCACCATCAAGAAATTCTATAGGAATGATAAGACAGGTGATATTAAACTTAATAATACTTTATGTACATTTAATGTTTTCATGTATTACATGTAGACCTGCACTTGTTAAATGTCACCGTCAAGCCTGTGCAAACAATATGCAAAGTAAAAGTACTCAGAAATGTTTCATCTAAAATATGTAATCATGAGAAACAAATTATCTTTTATTTTATTAACGAAGAGTGTTTCTGTTCACTGACTGCATTAAATTATGCAAAATATGTTACTTGCACACAGTCAAGCTGTTGACTTAAAGGGTGTATATTGGATGTTAGCCCAGACGAAATGTTCAGAGTAAGCCACATGACAGAAGAGAGTTGGAACACTTTACTGTCTCTGTATTCTCATCTTTTGGAACAGAATGGTAAGAAAGTAATTACTGTAATTATAATGTGATCTAACAAAAGGTTTTTATCTTGTACACATACAAGAACCTGTGCATAACCATGGGTAAGTACTTCTAACATACTAGTACTTTTAATGTTAATAAAGTAACTTTACATCCAGTGCCCTAAATGGCCAAATTATGCTGGGAAAATGTACATATATCAAATATATTGTGACCTGCAATCTTTTTTACTTTTTTGTGCCTTTGCTTTTTTTATGCCTCTGTTTTTAGGAGGATTACCATGTGATTTCTGTTACAAAAAGTGATAATAAAGTAAATATTGTCAGGTAAGTGATTCATAAACTTATTTGCAAAAGGTCTATGTATCACATACACTTGCTCAAAAGAGAGAATGATTTGTAGAGTGTGCTTACATCACAATGTCTTTGTGTTTTTCAAATTAATTATTTCTAATATTTTAATGTGCACACTGTATATATATATATATTTTTTTTTACTTTAAGTTAAATTGAAAATTGAGCTGGCCTTAATATGGCACTATATAATGGAACAAAAAAACCTTAACATTTATAAATTACAATAAAACCTGTATTTCTTTTTAGGTCATCTGGAAGATGTTAATGCATAATATATCTCCTGCAGATGCCACATTCTACACCTTGTGTTTTAACCTTGCTCCATGGATGTGCTAACTATTCATATCATGGAGGACTCGTCTGACAGTGCAGTGTTTCGGGTCCAGGTTCAGTGTGCTGATCCTTTCCTGCTAAACTACTGGCTCCAGAAGACCTTCTTCAACAATGGGGACGTCCAACAGATCAACACCCTGAGAATAAACGGCTGTCGTGGGCTAGTGTTTGTTTTGAGGGTGCTGCATCGTTCTTCACGCCTCCCTAATTCCCATTATTGGTGCCCTTTCCTAGTGACACTCTGCCTCGATGCCCTGGCATTTCACTACCACCTCCCCTCTGTGCCCCAGTGGAATGGCACCCTTCGAGAGGCGATGAGAGGAAACAGCCTGGAGCTCAGACGCTGAGATTTTGCTGCTTACAGATCCTATTAGTTTCAGATGTTCGCTTACTAAAGTGATGCACTGCAAGTAGTACATCTTACCATTGTAAAGGTAGTACGTCCTGTCTTTGAACACAGCAACGGCGGGAACATCCTGCAGAGTGACTGCCTTTGGAGACAATCAATAATGAATTTAATCGATTTGTTTTCAAAGAAGCTGATTATTTTACAGAGGTATTTTAAGTGAAAGTCTTACCTTTGGAAGGACTTCCTCAGATGCAGTGAAAAAATATGTGTGGACAATATACTCAGTAGCAGCTTTGTAGTATTCCTTCTGTTTAAAAAAGAAAAAAACTGTACATTGCATTTCAATAGTAGTATATTATATTAACCACTTCTATATAACTATGCATGACCTAGCAGAAAATCTATTCACATAGTTTATTTATAAAACAATACAACTTTCAAATAAAGTACTATCCAGAAGCAGTGGTAGTTGTGAGCTCATGCTCCAGTGTTCAATAGTTTGCATTTCATTCCTATTCCATCATAATTCATTCATTGTCCGTAAATATGACCGTTATTAATTTTACATAATGTTTACCTTAAGGAACGACTCCCTTCCAATGTAAACGAAGATAAGATCGTGATGACTCATAACATGCTGGAACAACTGAACACTAGAGAGTGGTCTTAGCACAGGTCTAGGTTAAAGAAAAAAGGACAAGGGGATAGCATGAGGAGAATTATAACTAACATTGACATGAGACTAAAATCTATGCAAAACACGAAAGACACATTGTTTCATTATAGCGAAATTTACTCCACAATTACCCTGAAACTCTGTTGGTGAATTCAATAATAGCATCCTTTGTTCTAGGTCCTTTGTAGTCAAAAGACAGCTCTCCTTTAAACCTTATTAAAAAAAAACAAAAAAAAAAACAGAGCAGTGTCAAATACATCATACAGCATGAACAATTCTTGGTTATTAATTTAGAGATTATAATTAGGCATTAACTCACAGTTTTATGGTTGGATATCCACGGATATTAAACTCTGATGCAATACCTACGGACAGAGAAATTAAGCGCTCTAGTTTTTGCAAGCATTATTTATTGTATTTATAAACCAGTAAAAAAAAACAGAATATATGGAGATAATAATAGTACCATTCATGTTATTAGTTGAAGTGTGTTATTAGCTATATCATTAGTAAATCACAGTTCATTATTGTTAATTTGCTTTGATTTTTTTAAACTGTCTAGTCTAGTCTAAATTAATTAATAACAGAGTGTACTCATGGTGGGGGGTAAAACACAAGACGTGGGCTACATTTCATTCACCCAGAAAGCTTGTGCAAACCTAATAATAAGAAGATTATGAAGTCGGAAGACAATGGCAGCAAAAGGCAGACACTGAACAACCTAATTCCAAGAAACTAAAGGGATTTCTAATTGCTGAAATGCAACTTATGCCATATGGCCATCTGGTTAACAAGATACAGACTCAACACAAACTTCGTATACAGTTCAACGAACTGAGTCTCATGAACGCATGAGGCCTGCTTAACTAATCCCATTAAACAGCAGGTAAGCCTATCCTGCCATTTAAGTAGCATACTAATTGGTTGCTAAGCAGTAGCCCGGTGTGGCATTACCATTACTGTCATCTCAAACCAAGCTACAGCAGGAGATATTACTTTCATCTACTGTAAGTATCCTAGAGGGGGATGTGGCACAAATGCAGTTCTTGCTAATCTTAAATATAATTTTAGATGCACAATCAATGTAATTAAAGCTTTCCAACATACACACTTTAATGTGAACATGTGAATTGAACCCACTTGTGTGCACTGTGGTATCAATCTTGCCAACATTAACAGGGGAGCCCATACTCTTCAGTTCTGCACCGACTTCATGCCATGTTGGCTCAAATGTGTGGCAGTATGCACACCATGGTGCATAAAACTGCAATATAAAAAAATGACATGACAAAAAATACAAAGCAAACACATCACACAACATAAAACTGCATACATTGTACTGCATACACTCTCACCTCCACCAGCCAGAGTTCATGCTTTAGGTAGTCCTTAAACCTGTAAAAGGTAACTGATTAATGCAATGTCACATTGATTTCTATCTATATATGTATCTATGCAATAAGTAATATAACAAACCACAGGCCTTGACAAATTACAGTTGCCTGCAGGCAACCCTTTTAGCTGTGACTATTTACAACGCAGCAAGTGCTAGAGTGCCTTGTTACTTTTATAAAATGGTTCCCTCATAATAAAATATAGTGTGATAAAGGATATTAAAAACACAAATTTCCATCTAACCCCCCATTTTATTAAGCAGACTCATAAAGTGCTATTTCTTCCAGTAGATCTCCGTACGTTGCTATGCAACAAAAATAACGACTGCACTGACAACACCTTCACTACTAAAGCACAAATTAGTTAGTATCTTTACAATGTAAAACACTTACTTGTCATCGAGTTCCTCCACGTTTCCTGACACCACAGCAATGACCGACAGAAGCGCTGTATTAATTAAAAAGAAACGCAGTGACATACAGATTACGTGCCAGTCAATCGTGTTAAAGAGATTTGTATTGTATTGCAGTTTATGTTGGCGAATATGGTGTCCATACAGTTAATAGGCGTTCATACCTGTAAGTAAGTTTCTCATTCTTGCTATCCTTTTATCTTGACATTAACCGTGCAATAGCCTTGAAATGTTACAGGTAGCAGAGTCAGTGTTAGGTTAGTGACATAATCATCGGACTGGTAGTAAGCTCTTGGCCGATTGACTAGATTAACCCCCTTTGCCCCGAGGGGTAGGAACGGACAGAATTAGGCCACAAATTGATTCTGGGCAAGCGGTGAACGTTTCATTGCGCCACTTTAATTAGTTTAAATTAGATTTTAGTCTTGTATGTTCTGTATGTACAGCAAACACTGTTTCAAAGGATCTATTAACATGTTCTCTGGTGAGTCTACTGTTAAACCTTTGAATAATGTGGTTATAAACTAAATATCAAACTCAACAATTTATTATATGTTTATTACACACATATATATATATATATATATATATATATATATATATATATATATATATATATCGGTATATGTTATTGTGTTGTTGCTATGATAACTTTATTTAGGTGTTTTTTACGTGAAAATAAGCAAATAATATTTTTTTTGGTACAGTGTTGCAAAACACTTTTGCTGCTAATGAGGTGAAATACGGGTAAGGTTTGAGACAGGTTTCGTGGTATGGTTAGGTTTAATGGTAAATTACAACAGTGTAATTGTGAGAAACAATTAGATATTTTTAAAGAGATGTACACAATAGTGCATTGCAATGTGCATTGAATCAAATGATTAATTTACATTTTGAACACTTATTATTATTGTTGTTGTTATTATTATTATTATTATTGTTGTTGTCATTTTGTCTGTTACATAGGCCTATTGTTTTAGTATCTGCTGAAGTTTACTCTTGAAAAATGTTGCTTTCTTTCCCGAAAGATGGCGCCATAATATTCCATTTGGAATCTTGTTTTATTAGAATGCACAGCTGTGCTAAAATAAGTGGGCATCATTACATTAATCCTATGTTCATAACATTTTACGCACTGTGATCTTACGTTTTGCTTAGCCAATTTCTAACTAAATAAATTATGTAAATGTTGCCAGTGCATTTTCCTCAACGGTTTACTGTTCTTACAATTGTTTTCGATCCCATAATAGCAAGTAATGCATTTTAAAACCTTCAGATATGTTTAGAAGACGACCTAATAACCATTTATTATTGCGAATCGAGTTTTGTTTATGTATTCTAGTATGCCATACAAGCAAGCCTATCATTAGACAGCTGCACCTTGAGAGAACATTTTGATTCGCTCAAGGACAAGTCAATCAATCAAATACCCGCCCACATTGTGTTCAGCCTCACCGGTGATTGGTTCAAAACAATACAGTTTAAGAGGTCTTTTGTATCTCTATGGCCGACGTTGACGTCTGTCTCCATCAAATAGAAACGTAAGTTTGGTCCGTGGGGAGAGGCAACTGTTATGGAAGTGGTTGCCTCTTGAATTTACTTCACTGTATTTTCACTCATTCTAAATGGAATAACATCTTTGGGGGTTCACTGCTTGTTAAATTAATTAGGGATATAGAAACTGAGCGAAAAGCATGGCATGATAGAGAAAGGACTCTCTGGAAAGAGCTCGCGCGTTATTTATTTTCTCCTGACCGCTTCATGTTTGTGGACAGCGCGACAAAACATACGCAGTTGTCTAACTTGTGCACGTTAAAACTGAGTTTCTAACAAAGTTTGTGATAGTCGCGGTAAATTAAGTTTCAACAGGCTCACGCGGTGCTTGTGTTGTTGAATTCGTCTTGGAGTTCAAATATAGCCTAGCCGACGCTCGGTCAAAACAAGCAGTTATATCTGCATGTAAATATATGGATTGTAGTATATGGCCCTCGTCTGCTGTTGCAAAATGCAATGGGACTAACTGAGGCCTTTGGACCGCCAGAATATCTTTGCTTCACTTTCAAGCCTGATGACCAGGTAAGACACTGAACTTTGTGTAATATCAGTGGAGTGTTTTCTTTTTGGTTTTAAAGTGCGTTAAACTTGAGAAACATGCGCGTGTGTCAGTAAACAATTAAAATGCGCTTTGGTCTCCACCTATGAGTAACAGTTTAATGACAGCATGCAGTTCGTTACAAGTTGCACCTGATCACTATTCTCAGCGGTATTCTGGCGCTTATTGTTTTGCAGCAACCGTGTTCACTTTCGGTCAGCATCATGTATGCGATCTCGGATTGCAACACTTGCACTTCCGAGTTGTTTTTCGCGTCCGCTTTGAGTTGGCTTCCCTAGTAACTAGGCAAGCCGTGTAAAAACATGAACACTACTGGTTTATCCTATACTCACAATTAGTGTGCAAAGCAGTTTGCAAATTCACCCGGATCTCCATAGTTTCCTTAACGTATTTGCTCTTCGTTAAAATCGTTATTGTAGTTTTATATCCTAACCCTGTGAAGTGCATTATGCGTTTAACCTTGTAAAGTGTGTTAAGTGTGGTCATTAATAGGCCTATTTGAGTCTAAGCACTTCTTAGCAACTTCTTGAGCAGATTTTGAAGTGTTAAGCAGATTCATGAAAAACACAGCCTTACTGTACAGTATGTTAAATGCATGCAAAAGAAAATGTGGTATGAGCTGAAAAATCTGTACACGATGGCCAATTCTCTTTTTTTTTGTATTTATAATCTTTGGAATGTCAGACATGCTGCTGTTCACATCATCAGCGGGTAGCTAAATGGGGTTGTATTGTCTAATCACGTGAGTTCAAATACCTGTGAATGACCTGTAGAATGTTAAGGCATTACAACCTCTTTTGGAATTTCTGTGTCTTTTTGGCTTTTGGAGATCATGAGATATCAGTTAATCAAATATTAGAGTAACTTTAGATCAAAATAAGGTCTTATTGTGTAATATTTACAGTCACCTTACTGTCATAGCTGTTGTTTTGGTGAAACGCCTTTGTAGTAACCCAGTGCATTATTTTGACCATGCGTGACATGCTTATTTCCAGGCTGAGAGTGTTATTTTGGGAAAATAACGATTGGTATATGGGTCAAATCATGCAGTAAGCTGAGCATTGAATGTTGGCTGGCCTTAAGGCTGTCCCAACTGAAGGTCAAGTTTGAAATGAGCTCTGTGGAACGTTGCCACTGGAATCATGGCCAAAACAGCTGTTTTAGGGCTTGTCTTTAGTAGTCCAGCCCTTCTTACACACTCCAACCCTGAGCGTGCAACAGTTTTCGTAGCCTTCTACTGTAAATCGCATAATTTAGTTGTGAATGTTTATGGAAACAAAAACAGAGGGACAGCCCACCTTAATAGTTTTTGAAGGTTAGCCATATGATTGGCTTCTTCATTACAACTTTGAAAATTACAGGGGGGGATCTATAGAAAAGGACTGAGTTGATTTATCACACTGTAGAGCCAGCTGTTGAGCAGCCTAAGGCCTGCGTGAATGTTTGGTTCGTTTAAAGTGGCTTTTACTGGGGTGTGGCACTCGAATGTAAGAGTGGGAAGGCAGTGTTTAGATCCTGGCAGAGTTTAGTTAATTATTTATTTCTCTATTGCGTTCCCAAGCTTACATCTGAAATGTTTCATGGACAGTTTATCCCGTATCTGTCCTGTGTTTTTTTTTGTGTGTTGAATGAAGGGAAATGAGTGTGAAATAGCTTGATTCGGTGTTCATTTACAGAAAATTTAGTCGAGGTGATTCATTTTCATGCCACTGGCCATTGTTTGTTTGGATAGTGAAAGGAATTTAAAATTAGGCTAAATCTGCTTGCACTTGGCAGGTGTGTTTACTGCCCCTAACCCTATTTCCATTTTGTCTTAAATAATTGTGCAAAAAGTGATTAGTATAGCTGTTAGTACATCAAAGAGCGGTTTTCAGATTTTCTTTCAAGGATTGAAAAGATATTAAAGAAATGGACCATATGTAAACAGTTTCTTTCTTTAGTCAGCACAAAATGAATCTTGAGCACAGAATGAAACAATCTAAATGCTTGTTATTGATCTTATTGTGAAATAATTGTATGCATGTTTTTTTGACCATGATCCTCCTTTTAAACATCAGACTGCAAACTCGCATTCAGATCTGTCTACATCCAATCAACAACTTATCGAATAAAACAGGTTTCCGCCCTGCTTTTTTCTTTTTTTTTCCGTTGATCTGTTTTATTTCAATGTACATCACAATACAGAATAACAAAACTGTTGCTACTTCTGTTCAGCATTTTTGGGAATAGGAGGTTTTTTTTTGTGTCAGATCAAGATCAAGCATTTTCATAATCAACTTATTTTTGGCTTTCCGTCACTATATATTTTTCACTCAAATAGAAGCAATACTACAAGTAGTCCAATATACAGTTATTGTAAAAATGGGTATTATAATGAGGCATACTATTATTAACAATGTTTTACTTATCTATTTATCTGTTTATTTCTTTGTAGGTCTGGCAAGGACATTCAAAAATGTGAACCGGTGATTGATACTCTACCAGATTAGTTGTGCACCAGTAGCAATGGAGCGGAGCAAACGCAACTCCATTGCTGGGTTCCCCATGCGGCCAGATCGGCTGGAGGACCCAGATTGTGGAGGAGGAGGAGCAGAAACCAGTCTGGCACCACTGGATAGGGTGTGTCCCTCGTCTTACCGGGCCCTCATTAGTGCCTTTTCTTGCCTGACCCGACTTGATGACTTCATCTGCGAGCGGATTGGCTCTGGGTTTTTTTCAGAGGTCTACAAGGTAAGATGATTGTGGGATGACAATAAGTCATTTAGATTTCAATTATTAGTCACTTGGCCTTACCAAACCACCTGCAGAGTTGAGTTCTGACATTATTCATTATAGTTGTAAGTGAACATGAAAACTATGATTATCTGTTTCAACGGTTTGATATCTCCTACAGTTTTTGCACACCAGGAGGTGAGAGTTGTGTAGCCTTTTTTCAAAGATAGATGGAGATTAAGTTGAAAAGGTCCTAAGGGAGGAAAAGAAAGTTAATCTTGTGATTCAGTTAATGAGTTGTCATCTAGGTTGCAATGTCAGATAGGTGTGCATATTTTGACATGTAAATTAATTGCTGTTGGCTTAGCGAAAATGATAGATTACTTGGTATTGGACTGCAAAATGAAGTTAACTTGTGCAAGTAAGAAGAGAGTAGGCCCTAAATTTGTTAAAGGAAGTGTATGACTTAGTATGATATAATATCAAAGTTTGAAGTTAATGAAGATGAAACATTGTGGTTAAAGTTGGGAACAATTTGTGACCAAGTTTAAATGCAGTGAAACTGGCTGCTTTCAGTCTGTTTGGATACTGTTGGGCCTAAAGTAGTGCATAGCAATGCCTGTTATTGGCTGACAGTGACACGGGTTCAAATCCGGCCCGGTTCATGTCCTGATCCCATTCCCTTCTCTCTCACCCCAATAGTTTCCTGTTTCTCTGCACTTATCCTGTCGTATAAAGACATTAAAAGTCTATTAAAAGCCTGTTTAGATACTATTACCTATTATAGGATAGATTTACCTAGTCCTTTAGGTAAATTTACCTAAACTTTATCTAGTAACATGCATAAAGTAGCTTTCAGAGTTTGTGAGGGTCGGTGCTTCTTCTGTGATTTCTCTCTGTTCTTCAAGCAAAAGTAGTAGGCTGGTGTGTCAGATGTAAAATAATTGCCATTCCTTTAACATGAGGATGGTGTTTACAACATGCATCTTCCTATGTAGTGTTGATTACAGTTTGTATTTTATATATTTTTAGTTGTTTGCTGCACATAAATGATTACCTCCTGCATTAAATTGAGTACTACCCTTGATGCTGAGCATCAGTAATACAGTAGCCTATTCACTGCTGTTCACTATATTCACTGTGAATAATTCAATGACGTTTTGAGGTCAGAAAAGCCCTGAGAGAACAGTGCATGATGATGCTCATTACCAAGATCAATTCCTGTCATAGCAGTGAACTCTTTCACTCGTGAACAGTATTTGTCTCTGCAGAGCTTCTCTGTACATGCACATGCTGCATCAGGTTTTATTTTAGCTTGTATGTTTTGTCATAAATGGGCCAGGTTTGTCCTCTTAGGTATTAGGCCAAGCATTAAGTCATTTAGAGATCAGAGCTCAGTCATTTTTAGATTAAACTGTCTGGAGAGATGTAAGAACTATAGACCCTGCAACTCTGAAGCCTCTGTTGGCTTATTTTAATTCTGTCCATTCATAGTTACCTACAGTAGATTGTGGTGCTATGTATAAGCAGCAGAATTGATTAAAATAATATTTCTCTTACAATATGTATCCTTAAAATAAATAAGGTACAAAGATTTCCCGAAGGGTAGTGCCCCACTGACAAGTTGTACCCCTAAATGTTTGCAGGATTTCTGAGACTGTATGCATTGAATTTTTCTTTGCAGTTTGTTTTGTGGCTTCCAGTTTGGGTTTTCTTTTATGATGTTTGTTTTATAATGTAGACACTCTCTCACTAGAAAGAATTAATCTCCCTTTACTTTGCATCTGGCAGGCACTTTCACTTTTAACCTTAGTTTTTATTTAATGAAGCAAGTGTACAAGAAATGCAAATGTTTAAGCCTTTCATGAGCATGCAAATAGTTTTTTGCAGTTTAAATAATAATAAAAGTTAAACTCGTATTGTCTTAGGTGCGTGAAGCTAAAAAAATGTATAACAAAAAAGGAAGATTCTCTAAAAAGGAAAATTCAGACAAAAAAGGCAAAAGTAAATTCTTTGAATATTTATTATTTATTTAAAGAGTGGGGAAAAAGTACAATGAATTTAAATCAAAAAGTACTTCAACTTTTGTTTCTGTGTAAATAAATAATTGTGGAGCCCTTGTTTAGCTACAGTTTGAACCCTTGGACCCGCTTACTTTTAAAATCGATAAGCATTACACTCTTAAAAATAAAGGTGTTTGAAAGGTTCTTCACACGATGCCATAGAAGAACCATTTTTGGTTCCACAAAGAACCATTCAATCAAAGGTTCTTTAAAGAACCATCTCTTTCTTAACTTTTTATAATCTGATTCTGAAGATTTTCAAAAATTCTTTTGTGAAACAGAAAGGTTCTTTATGAAGCCATTTAGACAAAGTTTCTTCTTGCATCGTGAAGCACCTTTATATTTAAGATTTGTTATACGTCTATTTAGAATATTTCCTTCCCCACACAGGTGGCTGAGATTTAAAGCAGAGTGAATGGTTTTAGGATAACAAGCAGGCGGTGTCTGCATATGGCGCAGCCAGGGGTAATATGGTGAGCCAAATACCAGCTGTGTTGGGGGTCTGCAAGAACCTGTCTGGAAAGCTAATGCAATAATAACCTTTTCCAGTTTGTTTGAACAAATGAGTTTCAATCTGTACCCATATGGTAAGCTCAAACAAACATCTAAAAAAAACTACAGCAATATGCAGAGTCCCTAAATCATGTTGCACAATGCTGTAATCCATCTACATTTGAGGAAGCAAAACATTTTCCTAGGATGCTGGATTTGTTGCATGGGCAGCAAGCTGTGACTTGATAATAGCAGAACAGATTGAGAGTTTGGGTGCTGTAGCAGAGGCATCTGGGTCCATGTCTGACAGGCAGCTCTCACTGTAGGAGGGCACACGAAATGGGCTCTTCCTAGGCTGCTGATCCCCCAGACTGAGATTGGTTGCAGTACAGTCTGCACAATGCATTTGAAGTAAAAGAAAACACTCATAAAATGTTGCAATGCGTTACGGATACAACATTCACAGCAGTTAACCACAGATTGCAATGTTTTGGTTCCCTAGCACTAAATTTTGAGTAATCCTTCTGTTGTGTCGAGTCTTTCCATCACTGCATACAGTTTGAGGAAGTCAGCATTTTACAGACGTAGAAGATGATTAATTTTTTTTACTCGTGAGGAAATCCTGTGGTTTATTTCTTTTCCTAAATGTCTTTTAATTGGTCAGCAAGATGAAAGCACAAAGAGGAAACTAGAAAACAGATCTGCAGAGGCACATTTCAGAAATGTTGTGAAACCCTTAACAGTACGTGGTCAATAGTCAGTCGTGCAGTATGCAGTATTTTCTTCATCTTGTGCTAAAAAATTGGTTTTGTAATAACGATTTTTAACAATGACTGTTCATTTAGACCTCATTTGCTATGTATGGCACTTCCACTCTGAGTGGTATTGTTGGTCTAATGCTGTGGGTTTCACTTTCTCCGATGCAATTTTTGGATAGTAGCATGAGAGAAGCAATGGCCCGAGATGCATTGAACAAAAAGCTTCAGTATTTGTATCCCTTTTAAGATGAATGTTCAGAGCATTTAAATATTTAAATGAGTTCCTCTGACTCATTTCATTTTGTTTGTTTGTTTTAGTTCAAATTCAGAAGAAGGCTGAAAGATCATTTCTCATTTTCCTTGTTTGTTTTAGGTGCGCCACAGAGCTTCGGACCAGGTAATGGCTCTAAAGATGAACAAGCTGAGCAGTAATCGTGCCAACATGCTGCGCGAAGTTCAACTCATGAACAGACTCTCTCACCCCAACATACTCAGGTTTGCTTTCAGTACATCATCATTATCACAGTTAACACTTTTTTTTTTTGTTGATTGGATTAGCATGATCATGCAGATTGCAAAATGTGCATGGCTCAAAGCTAGGCCACGACTTTTATTGCAAATTCCAGCCCAGCCTTCTTGAAAGTTCTCTGCTGCCGTGCGTCTCTGTGCAGTTACTTTATGAAGTTGGTTTTTGCAGTTGTGGTTTACGCTAATAAGAAACTAAGGAGCTGATGCCAATAAAAGTACATTTAACAAGCTTGTAACTAAATGGGAAAATAGAAATAACATGTGTTTCAAAGAAAAACAAGACTGCAGTATTCATATAAAGCAGTGGCTGATGTAGCTTAATATTAATATTAGGTTTCCAACTCTTTGAACAAGGAGTGTGCCTCGCTTTATGCTCTGCCAGTGGCTGAAAATTAATGCAATCTTTCAAATAAGTGAGACCGTGGGAGTGTTGCTTTCAATGTGAATCTCTCCTTTGTAATGGAAAAGCAGGGATGACCTCTTCCTCCTCGTTCCACAGAAATCAGGTCAGAAATCCATTAACAATAGATGGAGTGAAACGACATCCTGAGTTTAGATTTCATTGACATCAAAAAGCTCTTGACATTTGCTTAGTGTAGAACTGGTGAGTTTTGTCAGCTGAGATTGCCTGTATCTGGGGGTGAAATGGGGAATTTAATCTTTTTATTATTTTTATTTGCCTATGTACAGTATTTATTTTATTTATTAGTTTTTGTTTTATTATTTTTGTTAACACTTTATTTTAAGGTGTCCTTGTTACACGTTACATGTACTTACTAGTATAATAACAATAAATTATGCATAATTACATGCAAGTAGCCCTAAGCCTAATCCTAACCCTAACCATATAGTCAGTACATGTAGTTAATTAAGATTACTCTGTTCTTAAATGTATAATTATACTGTAACAAGGACACCTTAAAATAAAGTGTAACCTTATTTTTTATTTTATTTGTTGTTGCTATCTTTTTAATCCTGGAATCAATGTTTTTTTTTTTTTTTGATAAAATGCCACCTAGAATAATAAAGCAGCTGTCTTTCAAACAATGCTGCAGTACACGTATGATTTACTGTTTAAATATGTCTGGTATTGCTTCCATTTTTGTGATACTTGGCTTGTTTGTAGAGCAGAATGTGAGTTTGTGGGTTGATGAAAGAGTGAGAGAGAGGGGCTGTGTGTGGTGTACAATCACACCATTGTTACGTCTTATTGAATGGGGGTGGAGAGACCGTAGTGCAGACAGGAGAAGGCTTGAGGGGAGCTTTGTTGAAGAAATCCCAACACAGACCCGCAATAAAAGCCAGGCCTGGGCTTTATGGGGCCATAACTTTGAAAACACAGAGAAATTTTTATCATGTCTAATGACTCTTGTGAGGTGGCCATTCAGAGACATTGATATGTTGTATATCAAATTGGTGAAAGGCTACTGCATGTATATATTGTGTGGGCCTCACACTGCGCATACATTTCGGCTGTATTATTCAAATCTGATCTTTCTGAATGTTTGCAAGTGATGACTTTCTGGAAAAAAAAGATTTGAGGCACATCGGACATCACCATAAACACAGATATTTATGCATTCATACACTACCATTTATTTATTTATTTTTTGGAAACTGATTCATTTGTCAGGATTTTTGAATAGAGAGTTTAAAAGAAGAACATTTATATAAAATGGAAAAAGTGTCTTTGTCGCTTTTGATTAATTTGATGAACACTTGCTGAAAAAAGTATTAATTTCTTTCTTACCCCAACCTTTTAAATGATAGTGTAAGTTACAGACATATTAAAGAACTGTCTTACTGTATTATAAAGTATTACTGTTTTGCTTCTCTTTAAAAAATTATATTTTGCCACATTCCATCTCTGAAAGAAAAATCAGCTTTTTTTTATTTACAGCAGAGATCTTGCCTTTATTCTGCCATTGTGCCTGTGTTTACATCAGAGTGTTACCCTCCAGTCGACTGGAGCCAGTCTCACATTTTATAGCTTGTGTTGATGTACAGCACCATAAACCTGTCTGAGTTTATGGTGTCATTTGTAAAAGCCATTTTTGACACAAGAAGTGAATGTAGAGCATAAAATAAGCCTATTGGACAGGAGCCTCAGAGAAAGTCAGCACTGGTATAAACCGCAGCAGCTCATTCTAGTCAATAATGCTGAATTTGCTCTTATGTCATTGATTGCACATTGACCTTTTACTTTTACGTTTTTTGGCATCCTATAAATCTCTTCAAACCCTTAGCTGCTGCTTCAGAACATTAAACTAACATAAACCTTTCTTGTTTTTGTGGTGTTGTAGATTTATGGGGGTGTGTGTACAGGAAGGTCAACTCCATGCTCTCACAGAGGTAAGTGACATCAGACTCGTTTCATTCACTCTTCATGCACAAGAGACAGTTGACTTTTCTTCATTAGCTGTACCTAAAACACTAAGACTGTACTTAATCACATTGATGACATTGCAACTTGGCCTCCTTCTAGCTTGGAAAAAAAGGCAAAAGATAGCCTTTTGTACCAATAGCGCTGTATTGAATTTATGCTTGAATAATACTTGCACTGCTGGAAAAAGTTGGTCTGAGAGTGCTTGCTGAGGGTACCTTTGATTCCTAAATCTGTGGAATTTCCCCCTGTGATTCAACTGTGACATTGAACAGTTTAGTCTTTGTTCACAGTGGCCCGAGGGGAAATATTCTATTAGAGAGCCCACTGGCAGTCCCCTTAGGCATGTTGTATTTTTACCATCTCAAACTGTGTGGGTGAATTATGCTTGTATGAATGTTACTGTGCTATATAGTCTTATGCTAAAGATGAATACCGATTTCACAGGAAAGAGGGGTTTTACTTAAGCAAGAAATTAGTCGGTTTAAAAATCCAGTTAAAATGTGAAGTAGTTTGTCTAAATAAAATGTTTAGTTATTTCAATAAATTAGGTATAATGTGCATAAACCACTATGAAGTTCATTGAGTGGGTAAGTGAGTGGGTATTCAGCAAAACAATGTTCTGTTTTGTCTTTCTAATCATTTTTAAGTCATCTTCAGGCCTTCTGAGGCCCTCAGTGGGCCCTGGCCCCCAGTTGAGAACCACTGCATTGGAGGAAACTTAGTTTTATGAAGTAGTTTACTACACTATGCACTAGTGTGTCTTTGATACCTGTTCTAGATATGTGACATGAGTTTTTTTCCTGTAGAAAGTGCAAAGCCTCTGTTAGTATTCCCATTGTAGTTTAAATCATTGAAGGTCACTTGTTCTTACTGTGCCCTGTGACCTTTGCTCTCCTTTCTTGATGCATGTTGACAGAAAGAAGTATTAGTGCTAGTGGTCAACCGATATATCGCCAAGGCTGATATATCGGACGATATTTGGCATTTTTTTAATATCGGCATTGGCCGATAAATTTTCCTGTTTGGCCGATCCGTTCGAGGCGGGACTTTTATTTTGACAGCGCTGAGAACAGCAGCACCTGAGCAAACAGTGCTTACATTCTCCCTCTTGTTTGCTGTTGTCGTTCATTGCCGATTATGAACGTGATTTTGCGTAGCTTGTCAGTGAACTACGGCTCCGTGTAGTAAATGCCACTCCATCTGAACGCACGTGCAGGAGATTTACTACTAATCACAGGAGCGGCTTTACTGACGAGATGCACATGAAAATCGCATTTGGTTTTTTGCACCGCACTACAAGAAAGTATTATAATGTTGGCCTTTATATTACTAATAATATAAAAGCAATCGTTATAATACTTTTTGTATACATTTTAATTCCTTTGTTTAACTGTTCTCTCTGATTATTAGACAGACGTATTAGATAATCCATTTTTGCACAGCCCTACTTGTTTGTCATCAGCATTCAGCAAATATGCATTTATATCATTTAAACAAATCTTTGAATGTCTAAGAAACACAATTTCAAAAACCTTGCAAACTTAGTCGGATCCAGTTGTGAGATCTTGTGAAGTGTGCATGTGTATCCTGCACGATCGCGTGTACTCTGTGATGGTCGATCCGTGTGAATTGAATGCGGACAGGAGTAGAGTTCAGCTTCACTGGAGACGCGCGAGCGACAAACTTTAAACTCATGATTTTAAATTATGCTGCGCTTTATGCATTTTCCCACTGTCATATTCATGTCGTTTTCATTGTGTGCTGTATGTAAAATGAATGTTACCTTGACTTTATTTGAAAAAAAATGATTAATGCACACAAACTTCCCAGAATATTGAGTGCCCTGTTAGTTACGGTGTTTACTTCCTTTTCAATTATATTTTAATTAAATATTTATTTGTGAAAAATACTTTGTCATCTAAAGTATTCTTTTTATGTCATCTATTTATTTTTTTAATCAATTTTCAAATGATTTAAATCTTAATTAAAATAAATGAAATTATATCGGCCATCGGCCACCCTGCTTTCCAAGATATCAGCATCGGCTGTCAAAAAAACAATATCAGTCGACCACTAATTAGTGCAATGGTAATCACTGGCCTGCTGAGGGATTATACTATTTTTCAAAGCCACTGTGGCCTTATGTTGCTCATGCCATTAAGAATTCCCAGTCATTTTTTTCCCATAAAGACACTTAATTTAAGAGCCACTGAGTGAGTTGACAGTGTATTAAATGAGCTCTCTCATCACTCAAAAGTTATGAAATCAGCCCCGCAGGAAGGTTTCCATCCTTTGTTGTAACCTGCATCAGCAGCCAACACTCAAAGTTACGGTTTAACCAAGAGGATTAGCTCTATATAGGCATACACATCAGTCACCTAATCACCTGAAGTAGCACAGCTTTAGACCTAACCTGGGTTACTCCTTTTTGTTCCATTAAATCAGTTTGGCAGTACATCAGATAGTCAACGCTGACCAAATGGTGTGACGTAGGATTAGCTTTAACCCACTGAAAGATGAAGCCAACAGAGCACTTCCAAATGAAAGATTTCCTGACCTGCGTTTGCAATTGATGTTGGGCATGAGATCAGGTCTGTAAGAAGAGGGAGAAATGGGATTAGACGGAACAACCAGACAGATTTGCTGACCTTCTACCATGTACAAATGTCCCGGTCTTCATACATTCAAATGTTCCAAGTGTAGCTCCCCTCCACCCACTTTTGCTTACAGAATAAATTACAGCTGCTTGCAAATTGTTTGTTTCTAAAACAGGATTGATAACTGAAAAAACTATTACATTATGCTGCTATGTGTCCTTGACATTTATGTTGAGCTTTACAGTGTACTATTAGTCAACAACATCCCATGCAGGAAAGTGTTGACTCATTGGAGGACCGAGAGGGCTGAGTGTGCCAGTTGGGATGGGGCTAAGTGTTCATTTTGTCAATTTGAAGTTCCAGGGAATTCAGATAATTCGATGTTTGCTGGTGTTTTTTGTAAATGTTGATCTCAAGGTTATGCTGTGGACAGCAAATTTTGAGAGCGTAACTAGAGCGTGAGTTGTACCTCAAGATTCTACTTTTGCCTGCAAATGTGAGTCCTTAGACTACAAAGGCACAACCCTATTTGGTTATTTTACTAACTCCGATTATATGGTAGCAGCCATTAAAATGGATGAAGGGCCGAGGAGTAGGTCTGTTGATATCCTGAGTCAGGACACGGCACCAAAGCTTTATGGGAAACTGGAAGGTGCTGTCATTTCGACTCATCCGTCTTGTCTGCCTGTTGATACCTCGTCGCGCTGACCGCATACTAAGGTCTTCTCTGTTTAGTCAGCCATGGAGCCCTTTATCTGTCAGCACAGATAATTTCAGGCAACCCAAAATTAGGACGCTGTTGAGACCAGTGCCCTGTGGTGAATGCATCAGGCTCCTAGTTAGTAGCATGTGTGCCACATTCGCTAATATCTCAAAGACTTCTTTTAAAGTTAATCAGACATAAACCATTCACTGCTGCAAAAGAATAGTTAATATGTCTCTTGCAGAATAATTGCCTAATTATTAGATGGTGCTGTCATACAAATTCACTATGTAAAACAGAAGCACTTAAAGGGCTCCTGCTGGGCTCTGCTAATTTGCACGCTTTTGTGACTTGAAAACCAATCCACTTGAGAGTTGGCATGGAATACTTTTACCCACAGGAAACTGATTGGATTCACTTCGGTATTGTAAACACAAAGTACTGTGACCATCAAAATAATTATAATCCCCATGATGCAAAGATTAAAGTTGCTTCAGATTTCATTGCACATTATTGTTGTACATATCAGATAATTGTTTTATCAGATTCAGAGTCTTGTGCATTACATTTTTGTGTACCCAGTCAAATTTAACCCATCATCCTATCTATTGTACTCTTGAATACAATATAGAGCATTTGAGGGCTACAAAGAGATGGAGACAGTGATATTTGTCACATGATATGTCTTCTCTTTTTTCAGTACATTAATGGTGGCAACTTGGAGCAGCTGCTGGACAGCAATAAGTACCTGAGCTGGGCCACACGGGTCAAACTGGCCTTAGAAATCGCCATGGGCCTCAGTTACCTACACTCCAAGGGCATTTTTCACAGAGATCTCACCTCCAAGGTACAGGACTCTGTCATCATATTTATTGCCTGTAATCATGACATTTTCTGTTTTAATATATTTTAAAGTGTAATTTATTCCTGTGAAGACAAAGCTGAATTTTCAGCGATTACTCCAGTCTTGAGTGCCACATGATCCTTCTGAGATCATTCTAGTATGTGGATTTTGTGCTCAAGAAACATTTATTATTATTATTAGTCAAAGTCATGCTACCTTTTTCAGGGTTTTCCATGAATAGATAGTTCAAAAGATAACAAATAACTATTTATTTGAGAGATACGTTTTTGTAACATTATAAATGCCTTCACTGTCACTGTTGACAAATATAATGCTGCTTTGCTGAATAAAAGTATTAATTATTTTAAAAAAAAAATGTTGACTGACACCACACTTTTAAATGGTAGTGTTAGTGTATGTAATGTCATAAATAGTCATTACATTGCATGATTTTATTAGCTTTATGAAGATTGGCAATTACAGAATGTACTGAAGGTACACTTGTCCTGTGGGTTTAATGATCTAACTTTTAAGAAGACTATTAGTGAAACAGGTGCTTCGATTTAGTTTTCACAGTGCTCTTGTTGGTGGCATGCACTGACATGCTGTCTCTACCTCCAGCTGTTGTGTTCTCTCCTAAGCACTTGTGGGACTTCCCATAATTATGCTCTGTGGGAATCACCCCCCTGGCTTTCCTCACTACATCATTACTTTCTGTTTAAGTGATTCTAATTGACTGAATCTCGAGTGTAAGGTATCCTGTGGGAGGAGCAATATGTTCTTCTAGTTACTGTTTCTTTCCTTTTGATGTTATCTCAGAACTGCCTGATCAAGTCTGATGAGAATGGCTACACTGCGATCGTCGGAGACTTCGGCCTTGCCGAGAAAATCCCCAGTCATGAGTGAGTAACAGGCAACGTAGAGACTTGCAAAATAAGTAAAGCATGCACTAATTTCACTCTGCTGCCTATGTGCTGATTATTACAGCAACAGAGTGGGCATCCTTTTGTTTTGTTTATGGCAATCTGAAAGGAAGCAATAGTGAGATGCAAGCAGTACTGGCAGGGGGTGGTGCTATCTGATTGGGAACGAACATACCATCCCAAGTCAACTTTTAAGAGAGCTAATAGTACCAGAGCAGACCCTTCCTCTCCCATGACCTCCTCACTACTAGTGTAATACTACATATTTTCAATAAAAACGATTAGTTGATTTGGTTACCTGAACAACTAGTCTAGTTCTAGTTAATGCTGTTATGTTCCACTTTCCCAGTCTAGGGTTGGGAGTGGGAGTAACCGGTTAACTTAAGCTATATATATATATATATATATATATATATATATAAATAAAAAGAAATAAACGGATAATAAAACGTGGAGGAATCACTCCAGTATTCTGCCCCAGAAATGCCAGACAACCACTTGGTTTAGGTCAACTTAAACAGTTTATTTAAATCAGCAAGAATTGTGTAAGCAATAAATGTCTTCAGGAGAAAGCCTGGCCAAAACAACAAACAAAACAGCAGCTAACTTACAGGAGGAGTACTAAATAACCTATCCAGGTAAAAGAAAAGAAATCAACAACAAAAGCTTTCCTCAACTCCCTCGCTAACCAAAAACAGGGATAAAGTGCGAGTACAAAATAAAATAGCACCCTCTCCCTACAGCTTCCAATTTAATCATAAAGCAAACAAACAAAAATTACAATACCTTTTTAATACCTTAACAAAGAAACTAAGTTAAAGTAGTCACACTACCTGTATATTATCAACACAACACTGCTGGACAACAGGAATACACTATAACAATCAAAAGTTAGTCCATGTAGAAATGTTCACAGTTTGCACCACACTCAACAGACTTAATAAACAACACTCAACACAAGTCTGGAGCAGGGGAGAAGTGAACCTCACTCCACAATGGCTACGTTTACATGCAACCAAATAATCAGTTTGTAATCAGATTGACGGCTCAATTAACTGAAAATCCTTCATGTAAACACCTTAATCGATCCAATTGAGCCCTGGTTTCAGGAACAGCTGTCGTGTTGATGCAGCCATGTCAGGGAGACGCTGTGTTTTAGTGCGAAAGCAAAAGCACTTTATTTGGCCTTCCGGAAGTAGATGCAATTAGGAATCATTGGTTAAGATTTATTTACGACGATGCAGCTTTTGTTTTTACTCGCGATCTTTACAACACGCATTACATTACGTATTTCATGGCACACTCGTTTTAATGCGTATTTGGCGCCACCTATTGTTGTGGGTGTATTATTGACATGTCAAAGTCTAGACCCTGAATATAAGACGACCGCGTTTTTTCAGATGTATTTCCAAGAAAAAAACATTCTTATATTCGGGTCAATACAGTACATACATCCTAGGGATGTAACAATGCTTACATAACATGCACTTTCAAGATGTGCTTTCAAAAGCAGCTAGACTGAGCATGACGGGATAAAGCCGATTGGTTTTTTTACGTCCGCTAGGGGTAAGACGCAATAAATGAATAAAAACGGAAGGAACAAAAGGCTTCCAGCAGGCCGCCAGATCAAAAAAAAACTAACCAAAGAAAACACAAAGTATAAGGTAGCTTTATTGTACATGACCAAGGAAAATGCAGCCACCAATTGATAGGATTCATTAAGGGACCCACGGTCCTACAAAGAAATACCAAAAGCAAAAATAATTTGTCTAAGTGATGAATTATTAAAATAAACAAATAAAATGGATATGAATAATAAAGTGGTATTTTTCGTCAGAGAGACCCAAGGCCCAAAATAACAAACAAAGCCAACTAATAAAATAAAACAATATAAATAACCTGTCACAAAGAAAAAGAAAATAAATACAATAAACCTAACCTATCTACTCTTAACCGAAAAAACATAGTAGAAATTAGATTTAAACAAAAGGGCAGGTCTCTCCTACATTACTACCACATTTCAAAAGAACCGAACAATCAAAAGAAATGCTAACAACACATCTTGGTCTGACGGCTAACAGGGAGTCTGGATCAGTGCGACCGGCCCGAAGTCGCACCGCCCACTTCTGAAGAGCGGAAGTGGCGTTTTAAAAGGACTGCCAGCTGATCACACCAATTACCGCTGATAGTCGGCAACACTCCTAGTAAATCAGCAGCGATCTGAAACTCAGACAGAAAGCATCCAACTGAACACAAATATTATAGAAACACAAAAAACATCATAACGTAACAGCAGGGGTCTCAAGAAACTTGTTAAATTTGCTCTTTTTTTTACCTACACGCCTAAGCTACACCTTTTAAAGGGTTGGTTAACCCAAAAATAAAAATTGTAAGAAAATTCCCTTTAAATGTGCGGTGAATGTTGTGTTCGTGCTCATGCAAACGTGCAAGACAATGTTGTGTAAAACGGTCTGACAAAAGTTCTATTTAAAGCACTGCCGCTAAAAACATTGAAACTAAAAAAGGGGAAAAATTAGACACAGCTAATTGAGTAGTCATGTTGTTGATCAACTGGTCACCACTTCCCTATTCAGCACATGTTCAAAAACTTCCCTTTTCAAAGTACTGCTGCCTCAGCTGAACTTTCAGGTGCCATTTAGTCTTTGTAAGTGCTTAAGTGCCTGGATTTATGCAAAGTCTTTTGACCATTATTCTGTGTGTTCAGTTTTGAGGGGGAGAAGCTGTCCGTGGTGGGATCCCCATTCTGGATGGCTCCAGAAGTGTTGAGAGACGAGCCGTATAACGAGAAGGTTAGATCCTCAGTTGCAGTTGACACTCAGCACTATCACAAGACTTGTTTCTTGCCAGGATTTTTCAGGACACATTATCATTTGTCTGTATTCATTTCTAGGCTGATGTCTTTTCGTATGGCATTATTTTGTGTGAGATAATTGCAAGGATACAGGCTGACCCTGACTACCTACCACGCACTGAAGTGAGCAGTAATTCACTGTTTTAAACCTCTCCAATAAATGTTTTGGAGATAAACTTTGTAACTATACATCACTTGTTATGCTATTCATTAAAACCTCTTTGTCCTGAATGTGACATTTACCCCCCACATTTGCTCCTTGCAGAACTTTGGCTTAGATTACCACGCCTTCCAGCACATGGTTGGAGATTGTCCTTCAGACTTCCTGCAGCTTGCCTTCAACTGTTGCAATGTGAGTTTCTATGTATCAGTCCATTAGTGATTCTTGTAGTACTTTTGAGAACGCGCCAAATACAGTAGTCAACATTTGAAGTGGATCAAAAAAGTTCATCAAAGTTGTTCTAAGACAAGAACGCATTTTGGTTTTAGGACAACTTTGATGAAAGGTTTTGATCCACTTCAGTGTTTCCTAGGGATGTAACGATTACCGGTTTCACGATAAATCACAATAAAATGCACTGACGGTTAGTATTACCGTTTAAAATTGAATTATCATCAAAATCGTGTTTGATTATCGCGCTTTTTAAAACTCGCGGTAAATCCTGTCCAGCCAGCATCAGTCTGACACAGAAGCAGCATGCAGTGTTGTTGTTTTCTTGTTGCACGAGACGAAATGGCGGAAGGCAGTGACAGCGCTCGGGATATTTTTCAGCCATCTAAGAGGACCAAATCGGTGGTCTGGTCATATTTTGGTCGACCAGAATCAGACGGTCACCCTGTCTGCCGATCTTGCAAGAAGGAAGTCGCTGCAAAAGGGGGAAACGCATCAAATTTGCTCAGTCATCTTCATGACCACCACCCAGTTATATAGCGAATGCAAGGTAACTTTTACCTCAATACCAAAACTAACTGGGCAAATAATTGGACAAAAAATATTGATTAGAGATTATTTCGTTATCTCACTTGTTTAAAGCAAAGCTTCCGCAAAGAAAAGTTCTCAGCAAGTGGCTTTGAGCCAAGACGAACAAACGTTCAAACTAAGGTTGACATTTAAGGGATAATGTATTGTACATTCATAGTTAACTTATTACATGGATTTTTTTTTTGTTTACCTAAAATAATATATAAATACG